CAGCTCTTTTCTTTGATATTGATAAATATTAATTTAAATAATATTGTTTAATTTTTAATTTTAAAATATCAGAATAGGACATCCAGTTGTATTAAGACTGTCCTGTTCTTTGATATTGAAAACTAAATATTAAAATAATTTATTTAAAATAAATATTTATTTATTATATATTTATAACAACATTTAAATATATAAATAAGTAAAAAATACAATTCTAATTATATATTTAAAAGCAATAAAAAATACTTAAAATAAATGACTAAAATATAGTGAAATTAAAATTGAAAAACTTAATTCCTAATTAATCAGAATTACAGGGATTAAACATGCTATTTTCTTATTTGATAATTTAGTGACTAAAATAAAATTATCTAAAATTCGGATATTATAATAAAATAAATTAAAAATATAAACTAGGGATTAAAATATTATTTATTAAAATTAAGGGATTAAATATGTTATTTATCCTAAATATATTATTTTAATATAAAGGACTAAAATGAATAAAATTGAAATTCGAAGATTGAATTAAAAGTATTTATAAATTCGATTTAGTGACTAAAATGTAAAGTTTACAAGTTAGGAGGATGGCGGACAGGGTTTAACTATTGTCTAATTACGCGCATAGTCCTTCCCGAAACGACGTCGTTCGGGAAGGCCTATATAAGGTCAAAACCGGCTGGCCCGAAGGGCCAGCTTCATTTCATTTTTTTTTCTTTCTCTCTCTCTTCTCTGAGAGAGAGAATTTTCTCTCGCTTCTCTCTAGAACAGAGAGAAGCCAGCCGGCCGGCAGCCGTCAGTCGGCGTTCGTCCGCCGTCAACCACCGCCGTCGGCCACCGTCTTCGGTGGCCGGAAATTTTTTTTTTACATCTAAATGTAGATCGGACCGTCCTAATGACGGTTCCGATGCTCTTTTCCGTTAAACGGCTCCCAATCGAAGCAAATCTAAAAAGAATACCTTCGGTTTTTCGAAGGTTTTGGTGAGATCCGGCGTTTGGCTTCCTCGGTAAGTCTCTCTCCTCCTTTTTCTTCTGTTTTTGGTTGCTAGTTGTGGGATGTTGACTGAGATCGTTGGTAGTATTTTGTATATATATTTTTTTTGGTTTTGTATCTCTGGTATGTGTTCTCTGTCTTCTTCCTCTCTTTTCTTTTTTTTTCAGGTTCGGGTGGTGGCTTTTATAGCCACCACCGGTGTGGCCATCGAACCGGTCCGAAGAGGGGGTCTCGGTGAGTCACCGGACTACCAGTGGTGACTCACCCCGTAGCCATGGCGTGGATGGCTGGCGTTGGAGCTTCTGGAGCCTTCGGTTGGGACGTGGCAGCGGCGGAGGCGGCGAGATAGCAGCGGCGGCCGCGTGTCCCTAGGGTATCAGACCCTAGGGTTTCCATCTGGAGCAATCTGGACCGTTGGATCGTGCCAGATCCAACGGTCAGTCTGAGGCGGCTGGGATTAGGGTTTAGGAAACCCTAACTGAAACCCCCAAATGTTTAGGGTTTCTGGTTGGTCTGGACCGGTTCTGGTTTGTTTGTAACTGGGCCGGTTCAGTTGTAATTGGGTCTGTAATTAATTATTTATATATGTATTTAATATATATAATAATAATAATGATAATAATAATAATAATAATAATAATAATAATAATAATAATAATATGGGTAAAAAATTAGTATCTTCACTTTACATCAATGTTGTCGTAATTGATGTTGTCATACTTTTTTGTCTTTTTTTTTAATTTACTTTAGTTTGGTGTTGAAGAGACTTTGGAATTCATAAAGTTGTGTGGAAAAATCGAAAACATTACATAATTACATGGACTTAGGATGTTGCATTCTCATTCTTTGACTAATAACCTGCATTGCCTCAATCAATTTATTGCATGCACTGCAATTATGATTTTTCTTTCTTGGAAAATATTCACATAATCTTATAAAAATAGGGTAAACTACGCATTTATAATCTAAATTATCAGTTTTGTTTTATTTTAGTACTTTTGCTTTAATTTATTACAAAATCACACATAATGTTTGCCTTTTATTTTGTTTTGGTAACTCGTCTTTGAAAACTTAACGGAACCAATGTATGTGGCACCTTTTTTATGGGTAAATTGCATCATTCATCGCTCAACTATCTTCTCACTTCTATTTCGGTCACTAAAGTTCAATTTTTTTTAATTCAATTGCTTGTCTTTCAAATCACTCTTAATTTAATCACTCTAACTTTCAAATTTGATTTTTATTTTAATTATGTATTAATAAAATAATAAAAAGATGTCACATCACAAAAATTATTAATAAAATAAATTAGAGTGATTAAAATATGAGAAATTCGAAAATTGAGTAGTTAAATTGATTTTTTAAAACTTTAGTAACCAAAATATGAGTAAGATTATAGTTGAGTGATGAATGATGTAATTTACGCATAGAAAATGCAATGTCGTTAAATTCTTAACTACGAGTACTAGAATGAAACAAAAAAAACGTTAGGTATGATTTTAAAACAAATAAAAGTTTAGTTATTAAAATGAAATAAAATTGGTAGTCTATATAGTAGACGTGTAATTTACCCTTAAAATGTTATAAAAAATATATATTATAGTGATTTACCACTGTTTATTATACAAAAGGCATAGAATAGTATAATATAGAACGTTGGTCTTAAATAATTAGGAGTAAAGGATGAATTTATGAAGCAAACTTAGTGGTAAAAGAGATTGTTGCTTTTAATAGAGATTTTAGATTCGAGCAATTACATATGTAGAGTGTGTACATTATCAATGACTAAAAAAATTCTGAATAAATATTATCTTATAATTATCATATACTATTTAAGAAAACTAAGAATAAGACATAGATTGATTTAACATAACTTATTAGAGAACATCTTATTTAATTTTTTGATATTTTGATTTATATTTTTTATTATTTTAATATGTAATATCATATTTTAGATTTAAATTATTAATGATAAGTAGTTTTTTTTCATAGATTTAGGTAAAGTGGTGTTATAATATACTTCAAATCTTTTTAAATGAGATAAAATATAACATTACTAAAATAATAATCGAAAAGAATCGGAAAATTAATAAATAGATAACAATAAAATCATGTAATATATATATATATATATGAATAAATGAATATTAATAAAAATTTGAATAAATGAATATTTAATAAAAAAATAATTGACAAATGATTGAGAGTATTTAAAACAAATATTATTTTGTAATCACCTTAGATTAATAAAAAAATTGAATAAATAAAGATTAATTTGTTGAGAGATTTTTAGAGGTAAAAAATATTTTTTTTTTAAAAATAAACTTAGAAAAAAATTATATTTACAAATTATGCATACGTTGATTATCAATTGACTGCATAAATCTATTTCAAGTGAAAATTAAGGATCGAAGAGCCGAGGTCTAACGTCTCATTCCAAGCCCAACAAAGGTCCATGGGAAGAGAACCTTATGATTTGAATAGAAAATAAACCAAATAAGATACGTTATTTTTACTTTTTAGGGTAAACTACACATTTAATATATAAACTATTAGTTTTGTTCTATTTTATTATCTAAATTTTTATTTTTAAAATCATACCTAAAGTTTAGTTTTTATTTCATTTCAATACACCGTCATTAAACACTTAACGGGCATACTCGTCAATCGTCGCATCTATCAATCGATGAAGCCCAAACTTTTTAACCCGCACCTTTTCGACTCCTAAACATGATTTTGGCCTCCTTTCACCCGAAAATGCCTCAATCTCATCAAATCAACGATCTACTTTTTTATTTCTTCATCATTCAGTCTCCATGGTCCACCATGCAATGAACCTTAAACTAGACAATGTTGGTCAACTCGTCATTCTCTCATGGTCCACCGTTAAGATTAGTCATCCTTTCATAGGAGCTATGCCGCATCAACATGTCCTTTAACTTTTAATTGTGAGGTACTAAAATGAAACAAAAAATAAACGTTAGGCATAGTTTTGAAAAAATAAAAGTTTAGGTACTAAAACGGACCAAAACTAATAGTTTAGATACTAAATACGACTACATGTTTAGTACCTAAACTATTCATTTTGATCCGTTTTAGTACCTAAACTTTTAATTTTTTTCAAAACCATACCTAACTTAGTTTTTATTTCATTTTGATACCCCATTAAAAACTTAACGTTAAGTTTTGAAAAATTGAAAGTTTAGGTATTAAAATTAACCAAAACTGATAGTTTAGGTACTAAACGCATTTAGTTTTTAATGTTGGATACTAAAATGAAACAAATTTTAAACATTAGGTATGATTTTAAAAAATGAAAGTTTAGATATTAAAACAGACCAAAACTAATAGTTTAAGTCCTAAAAGCGTAATTTAACATTTCTTATTTTCTTAAAAAAATAAAAGCAGTTGGTTTTTATTAAAGCCGTCACATTTTACAGATTATGGGTTGAGAGTTAGAAATCTGTGCCTTGGTTCCGGTTTTGACGCTTGGATTTGATCGAAAACCTTATCTGCACCGAATTTCATTCCTTTTCCCCAGTTAATATCGCAATGTGACAACGGAATAAGACGGAGAAGAAGCAAATCAGAAACAATGGCCACTCAATCATTTTCTTCCAGGTAAGCTGTTGGTCACCATTTTCTCTTTCCATGAATGTCTCGGAAAAATGTAACCAAAAATTTCATCTGCTGAGTAGAAGTTGTGGGCAGCCAAATTTATTAGATACGATGGGTTGTTTTTAATTGGCGTCTTCTATGGATCTTTAGGCAAACGTTGTTGAACTGTAATCTGTGTTTCTGGCAACTCTTCGTGCATAATTTATCGCCACTAGTTTCGGGTTGGCTAATTCGTTATACGGCATGTAGAAAATGTTATAAATAAGTAGAAAGCAGATTGCTTCATAATTGTTTGTAGTTTTCTGGTTGTCTGTTGTTAAAATCATGGTTTAGGTAGATCTATAATTTAGGAGACAGTGATATAACTGAACCCCAATAGTAATTGAGATTTGTTTTGTAGGAAAACGATAACGCCTTACAATTTTACATTAAGCACTCTCACATGTTGGTTTTAGGAAGCGGACCTCCTTTATTTACTTCAATCTCTTTAGTAAAATAGCCACTCTCAAATACCAGTTTAATAATTTCAAGTAATAGATAATCTCAAACTTAGGAAACAGCACCAGCTTATCATTCATACCATCAAGGGTTGATAGTGGGGAAACCACACACTTGAAAGCTTCTTCTGCCTTTTAGAGCTCCAACACGAGGTCTACAAACACAGCATTTTACTCGATTAGGATATTTGTTTCGAAAACTCGAAATAATCTCACCAGTATACATATGCAACGGAAACAAATAATTGACTACTGCATCTGTCTTTTGGTATTCAAATCCACGTGCCAACTTTGTACTAACACGTGAAGACTAATGTTACTGTAGTCATCATGCAAGAAGGATCACAATGCATCAGTACTAATTAAGTACCACTTGGGTTTTTTGCAATGCTGTAGGGATCCTCTTTAGGATATTAATTTGTAGAAACTAGCTGCTGACAGAAAAAATCAAATATTCTTGGAAAGAAATCAAGAAAAAAATAACAAAGACATGTATGATCTTTCATCAATGGTTTCTTGGCAGTCCATGAAATAGTTTCTTAATGGATACTGAAAATGTCAAATGCGTGTATACTATACTTACAGTCTGCATCTGTTTTGATCCAGCACTCGCGGTTCCCATTTGAATCATTGCAGCTAAGTGTGAATTGATGTGGGTTAGATTGGCTCTTGTAGCGCCATATGTTCTTTGAAAGGGATCTCTGAGGATATATCATTATGTCATCATCTGCAAGCATATGATCTCCATTCTCATGACCTCCATCATAGAATATTCCTTCCTTGTTCTCAATATTTTGGGGCTTGCTATGCTTAGATGTGGTTGTTAAGCTTTCAGGATGAACCTTTTTGTGGAACATGTGCAAGATCTACACACCACATATCAGCGTATTAGGAAACTCAACCTTTTTCATTTTCAGAACCTTAAACACTCTGTAAAAACGCAAAACATCTTGAAGCCAAGGCAATAAAGAGAAGAAAGAAAAAGAAAGCAAGGGATGAAAGCAAAAAGATTAGGAACTGTTGTTAACACATTCTTGATATTTGATAGACAGACCATTCAATTTGACTCATTTATCTTGCCAGAATTTTTCAATCTTCATGCTGGGATCATATGGTTACAACATACATTATATTGGATTCTATACTTGCAACATTTTCTCTGTAAATTACTGGAAACCCCTGATGAATAGAAAGTTTGGTATAGTTGTTATTTTTTTGACGTACCTTGTGCAGTTTAGTTTCTGCCGAAGCATAATCAATATTTCCTCCAGTGGCTGCAGTAGAGCTCCTAGAAGCATTGAGCATCTTTTTCTTCAGCATTTTCTTCATTATGTGCACTGCAGATTTATCTCCTTCCTTCTCTGTTCTCTTTTCCTCCTTTTCATATTTACTCCCCAAATTCTCCTCCGTTATTTTAGTCCTCTGAAACAGCTCCCCAAGTGAGGTCCTGTGTTCCTTTTTGGCCACTGTATTTGTTTCTGACAATTCTATTGCTGAGCCAAAAAGATAACCTTGCAGTGGACAAACTGTAGTACCATTCCCATTGGAATCCGGACCTTCAATTGGCTTTCCACTGAGGGTAATTGTGCTGCCATGACTGCTTCTTCCAGTGCTGACATGACTGTTTCTTCCAGTGCTGACATGACTGTTTCTTCCAGTGCTGACATAACTGTTTCTTCCAGATGAATCGTTGCAGCCTTCTTCTTTAGCTTCTGCTCCTAGAACCCTCTCCAACTCATCATTAATGAGCTTCAGTTCATTCTCTGTTACTTCAGTTTCTTTTTCAGTTATATTCTCTACAGAGATAGCAAATGTCGGTGTTGATGGATCAGGAATGTTAGGGTCCGAACCAAGGGTGCCAATGGCAAGAAAGCCATGGAATAGCTCAGACATTGCTGATGATGAATCCTCTTCATAGTCTTCTTCATCTACTCGTGCTGCTTCTATGCCGGCAAATGACTTTCGAATATGGTTTCTCTGGGATGGCCTGAATGGCTTGGTACCATAGTTTGGCTTCGAGTAGAGTTGTTGGTCATCCACTGATGAATGCCCTGTAAGACAATTACAAGAATGCCCTGACACGTAAAACGTTAAAAGAGAAACTTGGATGACAGTGAGATAGATGAAAGAATAAGTTATTACATAGAATTTCAGCAAAGATAGCAGTGATTGCTTTTCCCTAACCATGATAACATTCAATTAAGAAAAAAGCTTTATATTTATTTAATCTCTATGTATTTACCATCATGTAATTCATTTTTGGGTCATCTCAAATCTATATTCCAGTCATCATAATGAGCAACATGAAGATATGCTGTTCAGAGGTCTTTGAGGTTCACATGCATGCAATCTAAATGTGCATCACTTGCCAGGCTTTTACTAGTTAGGTAGCCTACTGTGTGTGCCCACAATCTGAGTCATGCACTGTCATTACAGTTTGCATAACTTCTTTAACAAGAGACTGTCTCATAGATTATGGTTATCCTTTCAGTTACATTTTCCATATGAAGGTCACAGCAAAACAAGCTATATGGCAGGAAGACACTTACCAATGGTGAAATCCTTGAGTGGTTCACTGCTATTTTGGCGAAATTTACGATGCATCCAACCTAGTAACTATATCAAAAAGAGAAAAGTTCAGTTCATAGAATTGAGGAAGATCATTATCACTGGACATAACCAAAAAGGGTATACCTTCATCTCTGCTCTGAGCCTCTGAGGATACTTCAACTCTGGTTACCTGTTGTGGATGGTGAGTAGAATGATGATCTACTTAACCGCTTGATGATGGAATATTTATGAATGTGAAATAAATTAGGTCCTTGAAGCCTCCTAACATCTGAGATAAAGATGGCTGGAGTGAAACACATAGATCAGTACAAGATTCGGGTTGGCTATTAATTGTCAAGATCACATCATGTAGTCACATACAAAGGTGGGTCCTTTGATACAGGAGTCCAGAATTCTATTTAAGACATCCACACATGTTCAAGCGCAAGGCAGGTTACAGGGTTCATGACTTTTTCCTTTCTTTCTTTTCGTTGGTTGTATTTTTCTGCATGATCCGTCAGACTGCTATAGAAGACCTTTATTATGGTGGCATATATGAATCACGCACATGTCCATTAAATCTGTAAGTTTAAAACACAATTAACCAGATACAACACTTAGAGATCAATAATATGAAGTGCGCCATGTTGTATGTTACCACCCTTTCTAACATAGAAATCTACTTGAACTTTTTCGTTTAGGATGTTGATGATATACTATCATTTTAAATTAAACAGGTTACTTGGTATTTGGTGGAAGAACCTGGCTTCACTTGTAGGAATTGCAGAGACTATTTTGTCGGATTTCAGTGGTTCGAAGGTAACATCAAAACAGAAGGCTTTTTCTTATCATCTCGAAAAGATTGTCTGCATGGTGTTTCTTAGTTGGTCTGCTACTGTGGTTTTCAATTGAATGACCATCATGCGATAGACAGGACTAAATGACAATTTACTTAATAAATATCCTCCTGCTTGAAACATTACAATAGTGATGAAGCTGCATTTAAAGAATTTCAATTCTACCATTTTAGCCAGTGATTTGATCCGCTTGATGTCCCTGATATTCTTGTTAATTATATCATTTGGAACACAGAAAGCTTTCGGTTAGCCTATAACCACCTCAAATGTGATTGAAATTTAACTCTTCATCTACACATTTCCTCACATATTATGTTTCATAAATCATTGTATTTAGTATGTTTTTAATTTTCAACTGCATAGAACTGAACCCTAGAAATTAGACTTTACTTGTACACTGTAACAATTCCCCATTATCTACTTTCTAGAATTGCCCAAGTACTTACTTACCTTTGCAAAATTCATGGCTTGATATCAAAGGCTTTCCCATATTCCATTTGATGGAATGTTGAAGATGCATTCATACTTAGCCAGTGATGTACATATTCATTGTCATTGTCATTATCGTTATCATTTGATCATAATATGTAGTTTCTGCAGGCCCCATCAAGCTCGTGACAGTTGAACCTGAAAAATCTGTCTTGGTAACAACTTTATCAATTTGATTGAGCTGAAAACAAAGAAAGGGTTAATCACCGAGAGATAGTTTTAAAGCCATATTTCAAAAATGAGTACAAAGATTCATAGATGTTGATGAGCAAATTCTGATGCCCTCAACTACTGGTGGATCTTTGCAAAATATTTAAATAACCACTGCAGATTCATAGTGTGCTATGACGACTCTTAATTCTGCTGGATTGGCCTAACTGAGTAACGGTGAACTAGAAACTGAAGTCTTAATATTACTTTGCTATTCTGTGCCGTCTAGTGAATGCGAGGTCTCAATTTATTAACTAGCAATTGTTCTTCCAGATATTCCTACATTGATTATCTCTTTAATTATTATGATTTCTATCAATTAAAGAATATTAATTGTTGTGTAGATGGGAAAAGACAGCTCTTTGATGTTCCTGTAAAGAAATATCTTGAAACATGTCTTGACAATATCATTTTCATTGAAATCCCATGAATTCTACATAAACTACTATAAACATTTTAATTATTTTAAGGATGCTGTAAAAGGAGCTTAGTATAGAGATGTATTATCATTTGAGAACTGCTCCCTTCATTTGTTTCTATTATATTTAGTCAACATCTTCCATTATTTATTCTTCAATGGAAGAAGTATGGGTGCTTGTACCACTAACTCATGTAGGTTCTGATGATACTTGTGAATCGTTCTTCTGTATAAGATATCAATAGTGTTTCAAAAATAGCGAATGTGACGTTGCTGGTGTTTCTTGCATATTTGTCTATACTTGTAAGGATTATAATATGTATGTTATTGCAGTTTTATGTTTCTTTGTTTTAAATCAAATTTGAAGGTTATAAGTCCTTAATCCAGTAGGATAACTAATGTGTAATTTTCCTTCATTTTGCTTTTGGTCCTCTTATTGAGAATGTTGTGTCGTGCATGATATGGTCATGCACTAGAACAATTCCATAAACTGACAAAATAGAGTGCTCCTGGAAATGAAAATATGTCTGATAGAAAAGAAATGGCATGTCACATCCTTTTAAAAAGAATGACCATATTCTTCGTAAAGAGTCGGGTGAAGTTCTGTGTATCTTGTTTTCCGTAGCCAACATGGAACTGAATGTGAACTGTTGGGCAATTTCCTGCCTCAAAAATGATGGAAAATGACAGTTTGAAAGAAACTAAAAGGTTTTATTTCATCCCTGGTTGCCTATTAATACCATTGGATCTGAGTTAGTAGGTCCGCACTGCAGTGTACATTCATGTTGGATACAGTATCATGGTTGTGTTTGCCACTAAACTTATTGGCTCTCAGTTTTTTTTATCAACTTTTGTGGGTCTGTAGTTTCTCTCTTTTTTGAACAGATGATTCTTGCAACCAAACAGTGGACAATCAGTCAAATAGATAGTGTCAAACAAGCAGTGCTGGTGGTGAATCAACACTTCCCAATAGGGTGTCTGTACTATTGATGTTGATTCTGGACAATGATATATCCTCCAATTATCGAAATGTGGTATGCCCTTATGATCCTCTGCTTCCCATTTGGTTCATTGAAACTGGTGAATTGCTGCCACACACTTGTATGGTCATGGATTGAGACAGTAAGTGTGCACCGTTTCTGGCTCTCTTTGGTAAACAGATAAGAGACAACCCATGCTCTATATCAGTTCACTGCAAAATGACTTTCTATTTGGTTTTCTTTCCAGGAATGTGTCCAATAAGTATATTGTAACTGATGAATTGCTTCAAAACCAAGATGGATGGTTTAAAAATTCAGAAGAACCCAACATTGAGATATGTCTTTGACCTTGTGTGATAAAACTTTGATACAGTACAAGAAGAAACATCAAGTTTTCATACGTTCTTAATAGTTCAGGTTGCTAGTTTTCTTTGATGGGACATATTCCTTTTTTTTAATACTTTCTCTCGTTTTTTTCTTTTTATTTATATTTTTTGGCTGTAAATGAGGCTCTAGAGCTGCCTGTTTTACTGAGCTTGACAGAATGCTGCCAATATTTTGTATTCAACGAATTTAATGTATCAAATTTCAATTTCAAGCTATTCATGTTAAAACTTGAAGAGACTAAGAGCTGAAGTTCACAAAATAAATTGTTCAATGCTACAAGCTCTTAGGGAATTTGGTTGCAACCTTGATATTTTAATCTCTATTATCTGATTTAATTACCACCAAATGCTAATTGATGATTTCTTTAGAAACTTTTGTCTAGTCAGAAAGTAGCCATTGGCTCAACATCTGATCCTGCACACGAAGAAGAACTTGTGCCGGAGTATTTTGGCTCTCATTGTTCCTGTTCTTCATCAGAACACCCCCACCTCTTGCAACTGTGATTTTCTCTGCATCTCATGACTCATATCGAGTACCTGGTCTCATCATTATTCATCTCAGTGACCCTACATTTTTCACTTTGATTTCATGACTTGATCTACTAATGATAATTTTTTGTCATGTTTAATAGAGAGCCAACAGTGTTGTCGACAATACATGGAAGTTCCGAGATCAAACACAAACATGTGTAGGGACTAGGAAGCGTATGATATGCTCAATAAGCAAGGCAAAGATTGTGTAAGTGGAACTAATGGTTTCAATCTTTTTCAGGAGAAAAAGCTCAGCTGTGGTATTTAATGAGAAATGGTAGTTTGATCCCACAATTTCAATCTTGTCAAGGAGCAAATGAAATTGAGTGGATTCAATAATTGAGTACTTGAGTTTCAGCTAATATACTTGATAACCGTTTCTATTTAAGTTCAAATCACACGTCATTCTTTTCTTGGTGACTAATTTAACAAAATATCTTTTCTACATTTTTGCTTTGCTTCCCCCTCCCCACCTCGAACCAATTCATCTGTCTGTCCAAAAAGAATGAAAATCTTGGGCTGCTGAAGCTTTAATATATGAATGTGGCAATGCAATTAGTATTTATTCGGTAGGAAAAAAGAGGGCCAAGACTTAATATAAGTCTTATACTTCTATCGAGTTTCTAGTAAGTAATTTTTCTTTGAGAACAGTTCGAGCATTGGATGAAGTAATCATTCTTCCGTCCAAGTTTTCAGCGTTCTTATTATAAATGACTAATGCACTGTATCATCACATATTGGCTGATAGATAGAACTTGCATCTCATGTCACAATTCAGGGGTGATTGAACCTATTATTCTTGGATAAACGATAATTCCAACTTATTATCAAGTTTCACAATCTTACCATTATCTTTATTACTTTAGAATGATTGCTCAGGTCCATAGTCTGAGTGGCCCCATTTTTATGACGATTTTTATCGTGACAACTGGTACGTCTTTTCTAAATGTATTTTGTATGTTTCACCTCAACATTTGTAACTTACAGATGCGGCTTGGCAGTGGAGGATCAACAATTACAGTCATTTTGATGGGGGTACCGTCTGTCACTAGAAGTATGTACAACTTCGATTTGTTAACTTTGAGTTTCAATGGAAGTGGTAAATTGCAGAATTTACATACACAACCTTTTTAATTTTTTCTGTTCCTGAAGATATAAACAGATGTTAAAGCCTTGCCTTAACAGTGAATTCGGCAGTTTACCTTGATTTAGAGCTAGAATGAGTCGTCTTATAATTTTCTTACACTGAAGATATAAACAAATGTTAAAACCTTGCCTTAACAGTAAATTCTGCAGTTTACCTTGATTTAGAGCGTTTCATAATGTTCTTACACTGACCTTGGGAGTCGGTTTATTGAACCTGGATTCGTATGGGAGAGTCAA